GGCTAATACAGGACACTCAATAGACTGGTCCAAAACACCCCGTTTTGAAGGTTACATGGGCATGATATCAGAGCGCAAGATTAGGGAGTCTATATAAATTATAAAACAGACAATGTCCTGAATAGGAGGAATAATTGTAGAGAGGGAGAGTGTGAGCAAGAGGATCGGCTGAACATGAGAAGTTGGCTGGATTAGCCTTTTGTCTATCTATGGCTATCACACCTCTTATGACACGAGCATTACATATACACAATTGACAATGATACAAACTAAATTGGAGTCAACATTAGATGATCGTATGCCAATTTGTCTAAAGAAGGTCTGTCGCCGAATAAATTTTCGGTTCGTTTCTTACTTCATTCATCTGCATGGATGTAGATTAAAGTTGAAGTAGCCAACCAAATTATGGAATAACCCACTAAGCTCGCGAAATTAGGTGTATAAAGAAGCGACTAGTTTTGCAGCAAGTCCCATTTTCTCTTGATTTAGCATGTTTTTCTTTTTTTTAGATTATAAGCAGAGTTTCGAGATTACCAGTAAATCAATTATATGATATGTATTCACCATATATCGTTTAAGGGGATGAAAGACTGACAGCCGTATTTTCCCAGATATGAGTAGAGCTGATGTTTCCATTTAATTTCACATAGCCTTGCTTTCCCAACAGCTATTCTCATCCAGGTTGGATTGCAGTTTCGACCCCGACTAGATCGTTTAACACCCCTAGCGGGACTTGAGACATGACACTAAACTGAGTATGACGAATACTCCTCATAAATCTGATCTCTTGGCAGTCTCGAAGGCCTACCTATGGACGAAAATATTTACCTGAAGTTTGTCTCTATCTAGGTAATTAGCACAAATTCGAACTATTTTTCTGTCGAGTAAGCCTTCTCGTTATGACGATGCCTGTTAGGGTTGGACAGACGAAAGTTGAGCACCTGTACATCCAGGTCACAGGACGACGAACCGAGGACTTTTTGCACTATCCAACAGTCGAAGTCCAGGGCAAACTTCCTTCGGTTTCTGGTCAAACCACTTTACGAATTCCCTCCACTCGTCAACACAAAACGGAATAAATGTATCAAGCGGTTCTTCAAAACTCAACCTCTCTTCATATTAAAAAAACGGTCTATGCCTAATTGATGTATTTAGGGATAAAAGTAGTGAGCAACCCAGAAAAATGTCATATTTTTCATTATTATCACACTTTATGCATGCCAATTCACACCCAAAAAATTTGCAACTTCAAATTACATCTGCTCCGCATTACACAATCTGAGGGATGACTATGACCGAGCGCATTGATTTTGCTTTGCTCTAATTACTTGGATTTATCACTGCTTGCTTTCTAGCCCTACGCATACATGCATGCACATGCATACACGCAATTATGCATACACACACATGCTTCTAGATTAGCATAGGACAGGAACAAGCCAGAGCACTCGATACCTTGTTGACATTCATGCGTTCAGAGTGTATACACAATAGGTTGAGATAAGCCGGTAGATTTTCTTGACTCTGTCTGTAAATAATGGCAGGAATGGTACCCTTTTCTAAGAACGAAATTAAGGCGGCCAGACAGACGAAAGCCCAGCACAGTTTTATCCGAACCCAAGGGGATTATAGGTATAGTGAGCAGGTGTCAAAGTAACCTACATATTCTTAGTAAGAGCTGTATTCACATCCTGGGTTGTACAAGGTGATGCAGGACTGACACTTAAATTATCCCCCAACGATACGAATAGGCCTCACGATGTCTCTCAAAAGGTAGTTGTACTCAGAATAGACCACAATCTCGACCTCACTTAGTTTGTCTTGAAATCTTATACCTATGGCCCATCTAAAACGAATAAAAATGTCTGTGAAGTATAGAATGAGTTTGCAATGCCAAATCATATGCTAATCTAGAAGCATATGTGTTCGTTTGGAGACATGTGCCTGTCCGCATATGTACATTCAGATATGCGTAGGGATACATCCAAGTAAAAAGAAGAGCAAAATTACTGCCATCAGTAATTAAGATTCATAGCTCCATTTTATTTTATCATCTCTCCGATTGCACAATGCCAAGCAGATGTTAGAGTTGATAGTTTTTTGGGCGTGAACTGAGACGCACAGAAAGCATAATCATAAATAAAACCATGACCATATGACTAGACCTATTCATATGAGTGTGAACAAATTCAACTAGCAATCCATTTTCGCCTTATGGTACTTCGGGTGGCTAGAACACTTAAACTTTTATTTTGTCGGTTATGCTACTTGTATTCATAGTGAGTATGATTCGAGAAGTGTCATCATGTAGCAAGCTCAACTGATTGCTTGGATGTGTGAAAAAAAGCTAGGTTTACAAGAAAGCCTGATAGACGGATGCTGTTGTAAGTTCCATTTCTTTTGAAAATACCTATCCAAGGTATTCGTATATCAGCCTTGCCGGACACCGGTGGAGGATTGCCCTAGACACGTGACTACTGTATGGTGCAAGAAGACCTCGTTTCACCTTCATGCTACACCGATGGCTCTGTGCTAAGCTCTTTACCATCCTGTTACAGAAGAAGTCAAGACCAGAAGCCATTATTTCCGGAAATTCACCAAATAGCACTAACCCTTCCCAGTTCACGAAGCCAGTCTAATTTCCCTAGAATCCCCCCCACTTGCCCATCTTGTCCTCTATGACGAATGGTAACCCATATTGCTGGAGTGTGATCACATGCTTGACTATTTGAGGCTGCACCGCCTGTAGTCATGACGATGGGAAGTGGCTTTAATCCCTGGACGACTTTTCGTCGTCGCCTCTTCGGTCTCCCTGCCTCCATGACGGTCCAACCCGACACGATTGGTTGGAGGGTGAGTCCGCTGCCTCCAAACTACCACACAACAGCAACCAGCCTACCCCGCAAAGGGTTGAACGACTCCTCATTTTGCAAACCGGCTTGCTGAAATTCATTCACCAGTTTGCTTGGAAGAAAGGTCCCAATTACTTTATACATTGCAGGGAAAAAGTGTCGGTTTGACCTCATTGACGGAACTTATTCGGGACCTTGTGAAGGTACACAATCCAGTATCCTCTGCTGTAGTAGCCAT